GCCCAAACAGGGTGGCATGGACCAAGAGCTTTTACGGCTTCCTTTCATAGGAGCACAGTGGATTTTTAAAACCTAGAGAAACCATTTCTGTACCCAGACGCACTCTGGTGCCCCCATAGTTGTTGCTTCAAAACTGCTGAGCTTTCATCAGAAAGCACCTTCATACAGATCTTGTCTGAAAGCAAGTAATGACTGAGAAGTTATGTGGACAGCCCGTGACAGGAAATAAGGATCCCAGCATGCAGCGGGGTGCATTCTGGCTGCCTCAGACTACATGCCTCGATGTAGAGCTACATGCCACAGGGTTTTCTTGAGTGTCATCTGACAGCAGCAGCAGACTGCCAGGCCTCTCTTGCGCATACCACTGGGTAGGTTCATGCCACCGCCCCTTAGTTTAGTGGTTGAACAGAAACTGAACCACCCAGGGACCTTATACTATGATATTTAAAAATTCTAACTACCGACCTAGCCAGAAGGCAAGCTGTAGGCACCACTGAAGCCTAGAAACATATCGTTCTGTGGAAATCTATCATTTGACCCCATCTGGCTCATTTAAAATGGTGCCCCAGTGGCGTAAATGGGTTATGCTTTGGCAGCTAACCACAAGGTCAGCGGTTTGAAACCCCAGTGGCAGAAAGACAAGGCTTTCTACTCCTGCAAACAGTTACAGTCTCAGAAACCCATGCCAGCAGTTCTACCCTGTTCTGTAGGGTCGCTAGGAGTCAGAATTGACTCAATGGCAGTGAGTTTGGTTTTTTGGTTTGTGGGGGCATTTGAGGCTTGTTTTTTTAGCCCATTTAAAAGGAACGCTGGAAAAAAAATTTTTAACAAATAAAAGGAACCCTGGTGGCACCAAGTTTTAAACCCCTTTGAACGAGTTAAAGACAAGAATGTGGCCTTGGCAAAATGCTGTTTCTCTTGTCACTTTTCTCTCCTGGGCTTATTCTCATCTGTAAGTGAGCGTTGTTTTTATCATCCTGAATAACCTTTAAAGAACTAGGAGTTTGGAAAGTCCAGATTTTAAAAACTGCAGCTTGGAAGACGGCAGACACTCGGCAAGGCCTTGGCCTTGTTATTTCTATTAATAAGTACTTATCTAAGTGTGCTAAAGAACCCTGGTGGTGTGGTGGTTACACGTTGGCTGCAATCCCCAAGGTCGGCAGTTCGAAACCACCAGCCATTCCTCAGGAGAAAGATGGGGCTTTCTACTCCTGCCAACAGTTACAGTCTTGGAAATGCACAGGGGCATTTCTACCCTGTCCTCTAGGATTGCTATTGCTATGAGTCAGCACTGACTCGGTGGCTGGGAGTTTGGTTTTTGGTTTTAAATGTGCTATGTCTAGACAGAACTTGATGGCCAACATTTGGTTCCAGATCTATCTTTAGCATTTTTCTAGGGCAGTCTCCATTTCAAACACCTCACTGCACGGTCTGATCAGGTAGCAGAGCACAGGTTTGGAGTCTGCAAACTGGTCATTGGATCAATAGGAAGATGGCAGAACTTGAGACAGCCCAGAAGCCTTTGAAAAAATGTCATTGCTTTGGAGTGGGTCATGATCATAAGCTGTTTCACCCGAAATTAATTGAGCGCTTGATATGAACCCCCAGGGTCGTGCCAATGATTTGCCTTCACCTGCTGACCTAAAGACTGGCGGTTTAAGTCCACCCAGGAGCACTGGAGACCTGAAGATTTGCTTCTGTGCAGATTACAGCAAGGATACCCTGAGGAGCAGTTCTGCTCTGCGGTACTTGGGTTCACTGTGAAGTGGAATTAATTCAATAGCAATGTTTGCTTGTTGGTTTTTAATGAGCCAGACATTTTTCCAGTGTGTTAAAGCTTAAATTCTGAACACCAGGTTTGCAGAGGGCTATGGGAGCCCTAAATCCATTCTTGAGTCTCTACTGGGATTCAGCCTCCTCTGAGTTCTTTCTGATTATTGACCAGCCATGTGGAAGGGTTTGCCCTCGGGCAGTGTGCTGTTTTCCTAACTGGCCCAGGAATTCCGGTTCTTCTCAATGCTACCCATAACTTGTGGAGCACCACACAGTCTTTGCATAGTCAATCAAACACAAGCAAATATCTTTCTGGTAGTCTACCTTCAGCCATGATCCATCTGACATCAGGGATGATACCCCTCATAGCACGTCCTCTGCTGAACCTGGCTGCGATCTCTGGCTGCTGCAACCCTTGTGGGAGGACCCTCGCCAAAGTTTACTTGCATGTTATACTGATACTGTTTGATTTTTTTCTGCATTCCATTGGGTCACCCTTCTTTATTTTTAAATCATTTTATTGGGGGCTCGTACAATTCCCATCACAATCCATACATACATCCATTTTGTCAAGCACCTATGTACATTTGTTGCCATCATCATTCTCAAAACACTTGCCTTCCACCTCAGCCCTTAATATCAGCTGCTCATTTTTCCCCTCCCTCCTCACTCCCCGCTCCCTCATGAACCCTTCATAAATCACAAATTATTATTATTTTGTCACATGTTACACTGTCCGATGTCTCCCCACCGCCCTCTTCTCTGCTGTCCATCCCCCAGGGAGGAGGCTATATGTAGA